GTGGGGGTGGGGGTGGGGGTGGGTGTGGGTGTGGGTGTGGGTGTGGGTGTGGGTGTGGGTGTGGGTGTGGGTGTGGTGTGTGTGTGTGTGTGAGTGTGTTTTTTTTTGCGGTGGTGGGGGAGGGGGTGGGTGGGGGCTTTGGGTTTCATGTTCAGGGTTTTTGAGGTGGGGGTTTGCTTTTACAATGGTTTAGGGTTGTGGGTTCCAAGTACATGCAAAATGTGGCTTCCGGACTGCACCTTCTCAGAAGTCATCGCAGCACTTGGGACAGAACACAACCGCGACCTGTCCAGGTTTGAAAAACTCAAAGTCCGTTGGCCTTCAACACCAAAGTCCAGGCATCGGCAAGCGAATAAGCCTGCCGCGCAAGAAAAACCCTAAAAGCTTGATCTTAGACCTTATGCCCTAATCCAATTTCTAGACCTGCGAACGCTGCACACTTCTTGCGTGCTTTCTCGATGTGGCTCCTGTGAAGGACCGAACCACCGAGAAGTGCGTACTGGCCATCGTCGGAAGAAGCGGAGATCACCAAGATGCAGGTGCCCGCATTCGTAAGCGACATGGGAATTTCTCAGTATTCAGCTCTATGGTCCTTGTTGGGGCCCTCCGTAATCCCCTTGTATCGTCCATACATTTGTGGGGGTACCATTGCTTTGCGAGTAAGGCAAACATACCTTTGAGACTTGATGTCTAGGGGTTGAAGCTCGGCCCTAGGAACCGAGCTCCAGAAATGCCTACATACACTCAGGCCCCAAAGTATCTAGATACCGTAGGCACCTCTTGTGCACACCGTATGGATACTTGGATCTAATGGAAGTTCATCTGGGTAGTTTGCCCCACATCAGCCTTGTTTAATGTAGCCCTTATACCTTCTAGTATCCCGATAAAAGCCTTCAACCCTAACATAATTCCAGATGAGCCATTGTCTAAACTCCCTAAAGGGGGGGGTATATAGGGGATTAAATAGGGGACTACTATAGGGGTTATTAAGGGGGATACTAGGAGTTTAGACAAACCCTAAACCCTAAACCCTAACCCACCCTAAACCCTAAACGAGCGCCAAGCTGGCTGGAAGGTGACGACCTGGCTGGATCAGCTAAAAGTGGTGAAAGGCAACTTCCCTGGCGTTAGCTTTCACCCGGTTCGAAGAGTTCAGGGATAATGTAGGGTAATAGAGGAGTTACATAGGGATAAGGGAAAAGATAATGGAAATCACTATTTAGGGTTTAGGGTTCAGGAATTTGGGGCTAAGGGGTCGCCAGGTAAAGATAGTTCACAAGTGGGGAGGGACATAAGTTTTCTGGCTTTAGCCCTAAGCCCTAAGCCCTAAATAGCGTGTACCTAGACCCCGGGAGAAGTGGGTTATCAGTTCCCTGGCTTTAGCCTACATACCTAGACCCTCCATGAACCCCATTAATGGGTCAGGGTTGAGGATTCAGGGTCTCGGCATTCAGGCAAACATGAGGGGTAGTGGCGGGTCTAGGCACGTAGACCTCCCAAAGCTGTGTAACTGCCCCGTAGACTTCCCAAATACCTTCAATGATAGTTAGTAACTCCGAAATGATGACGGGCCTAAAGGGGATTCTTATGTGTATTTTGGGAGGTCCAAGTACGGAAGTTGAATGTTTTAGATGAAGTCATGAGCCCCTGAACCCTAACCCCTACCCCCCAAACCATGTATAACCCTCTATTTCAGCACAGTCTCATTTATCTTCTCAGATCCTAAACCTTAGGCGCTACAACCCTAAGCACATAAAACCCTAAACCCTCAGCCCTGGACCCAAGTCAGCTCAGGCAAGATGATCCCGGCTGTGGTAAAGGAGCTCTCCCAGCCGGTACGGAAAGTGTCGGATGACGACCAGGATGAGACACTGCTTCCCACAAAGGGTCCAGCCACCTCGTTGGTCCCGGTTTCGGGATTAACCCAGACCCCTGATGAATAAACCCCCCTCCCCTTAATAGGGATTATAATAGGGATCCTAATATTGAGGCCCTTAAAGGGAGGGGGTTTATTAATCATGGGTCTACATTAGGGTTTAGGGTTTAGGGATGTAGCTATCTGGAGCTTTGGGCTTGGCGAGACGCAAGGCATCTAAAGCAAAGCAGTACTTCGGATTGTCCGCGCGTTTGTGGCGCCTGTTGCTTTTGGGTTTAGGGTTTAGGGTTTGGGGTTTGGGGTTTAGGGTTTAGGGTTTAGGGGTTGCCTTCTCTTCGGGCAATTGCCTCATCAGCAGGTGCTTAGCCCTCTAGTGTGCCACAACTACGTACAGGAACTATACCTCGCATTCGGTATTCAAAAGCCCTGCATGCCCCTAAGTATGGTAAGTATCGGGACATGGGGAAGAAAAGTATCACGAGGCCATCCAGCTCTTCCATCTGAGCAAGAGGACATATGTTGTTGAAAGCTGCTTTTCCCCTGAAAAACACAAAAGTCCTACACCCCGAAACTCACAAACCTCTAGTCTAAACCCTCAACCCACGTCCCTAATTCCCACAAGCTCCAAGAGCCTACATCCCATAAATACCCCTTAGAAGCCTTCGCCTTTTCCGAAGCTGGAGGGGCTGGCCAACTCGGGGGATACCCCAGTTGCAACCTCTGGCTGGCTAGGTCGGCATGAGCCCCAGCACGAAAAATCCAAGCCAGAGGCTTTTGAGTTCTCTTTCGGACAATATGCCTTGGAAGTATCGGAAAGATGTATGTTCATTGAATTCCAGGAAGATTGCTTAATTGAGGCATGTTGTGGAAATTAGAGAACCGCCGCTCAGCTGCGTGCTGGTGCAGTGTAAGCACTTCATCAGCGTCTCGAAAGATCATTGAAGCAGCATGCCAAGCACTAGGAACATCTTCGTTTCAAGCCCTTGGCAGGAGTTGCAGGAGATCAAACGGCAGGCCATTGACGCCGTGAAGGCGTCAGGGGAAAATGCTGTATATGATGTAGGGCCCTATGACGCAGAATGCGGTTCACGTGGTACATAAGCAGGGTCTCCATGTATTGAGTACATCATTGGCAGATGATTTGGGGTGGATCATGGCTTTTCCATAGGAATCTGAGGATGAGAGCTGGACCCTACACTGCAGAGTCTGGACAGAGTTCTGCAGGTGTGCCTTTCTGAACTAGCTCTTCGCACAAATGGAACTAGACGCCTGCAGACTTTTCATCCTCCCAATCCATCGATAGGCCCCCACGGTCCCTAAAATAACCCCTCCATTTTGATTCGAAAGAGCTTCAACATTAAAAGTTGGGCGAAGAGGAGCCGAGACTTGCAGGGTCAAGGGGAAAACCTTATACTCCCACGGGGAGAACTGCTATATTACTTGGCTTAGCTATAGCTTTTTGAACAAACTTTCGCGAGTACCCTAATTACTCCTAACAGTGTTTAGGGTTACTGGGCTGCTTCGAGCCACACAGTGGGAGTCTTGGACATCAGTTTGATTTCATGCTTTACATGCTCAAGCCCTGAATCCCTGAGCTGGTTCCCGTTAAAGTTGGCGGTGTAGATACTTCCCGCACAACTTTTCCAAGTTACTCAGATTCAGGGTGCTCGCAGCTCTGGTTAGTGTTGGGATGCGCACTGTCGCATCTGCGCAACTGCACGCCGCAAGCAACAAAGAAGCAACACCCTAAGCCACATAAACAAACAAAATCTCCAAGGTCCTTACCACAGGCCCCTAGGGTTTAGGGTTTAGGGTTTGAGCCCCTGCCTGTCTCTCGAGTCCTAACTATGCGGCCCTTATCGGCTCGTAGTTTTTTGAGGGTATGAATGATGGAGGTCTGAGGACCCCAAGAGAAAGGGCTTATACCGGGGTCCCATACTTGATTTCAGCCGTAAGCTCCAACTCCTAGCCATGCAGGGAGTCCTGGACACCGGGCGGCTGGCCTGCTATGACGCCAGGCTACTACAGCAGCCGAAATACTTACCGAGATTATGGGAATTCTAGGTATTCCCAATGTGATACAGTGATATACTGGGTGAGGAGATATACGATAACCCCATTTTAGCGTGTACAGGTTTACGGTACCTGGGCTTAGGGTGCAGAATGTTCCCACTGATCCGTTCATGTCCACTGTCACTGCATTAAGAGCCTAAATTCTAAACTGAAAGCCTTGTCCCGAAGAAGGATCCAGATAGCCCGATGTAGGTACTATTTACAGACTTTGGAGCCCAATGTAGGTATCATCTATAGACTTTAGGGCCCAATGTAGGTATTATTTGTAGATTTTAGGGCCCAAATGTAGTTATTGTTTACAGACTCTAGGGCCCAATGTAGGTATTACTTCTATGCTTGGATCCCTGGCTTCTTCCCATTAGAGACCGCAAGCCAGACGGATCCTTTTGATTTTGGATAAGGCTGTGGGAAGATCAAAGCTCTGGTTGAGATAAGCCCAATGGGGTTTTGTCAATGGTCTAGGGTTTAGGGCTTGGGATTTGGGTAGGTTTGGGGTTTAGGGTCTAAGCAAAAGGGGTTAAACAGTCGACCTACTCTAGGGGTTATTCAGGGGATACTAGGAGGTGAGACTATGGCTCAATGTGTTGTTTTCTTGTTTGACTGGATACCGCGGTAAAATACGGAATGAGCAATACAGAGAGGTAGTGAGTAGAAACGTGAGGAAGCTTGTTTACGATTTTTCCTACCCCAAAATCGAACCGAAATTCTTTCAGCAATGGGCGCTCCAGACCCTACACCTAAACCCTATGTTAAGCGTCAACCCTTGCCCCCAAGCCCTTATAAGGCCCTTGGGGTACCCTAACCGAAAACCCTAGACCCTCGATCAGAAATCTCCTGACAAGGTGGCAGGTCATGTAAGAAAACCCTAAACCTTAGGAGGACCCCCCACCCTGTAATAGTGGTATAATAGGAATATACGAGGACCCTAAGATAATCCCTATTATCCCCCTATAGTCAGGGGGTCCACCTAACCTAGACACTAAACCCTAAACAGTAGCTTCCATTTTCTTTTCCATTATCCCTATATAACCCCTATATAATCCCTATATAATCCCTATATAATCCCTATATAATCCCTATAACCCCTGTACCCCAAACCCTAAACCCCTAAACCCTAATACCTAACCTAGACCCCTGGTCAGAAATCCCCTGATCAGGTGGGAGGTCATGTACACCCTCTGCGAGATGATGGGCGCCCCATTCGCCCGCCTAAAGCTGGAGGAGAGTGATTCTGAGCTCCAGGCTCTCCAGGCCCCAGGGGACCTTAGGTGCCATTGGGGTTTTCTACATGGAGGTGCAATGAGTTTACAATACCGCGGTCATACTAGCAGTTGTAGACCGTTTGCCCTAAGGGTCCAGGGACCCAAATAATAGGGCTTTAGGGCCCAAGTACTAACAATTTTAGAGTACCTGGGCCCTAAAACCTATATACCCCTATGTAGTCCCCATATATCCCTAGAGATGCCCCTATAACCCCTTTCAAGGGACCCTATTATTAGGATCCTTGGACCCTTAGGGTTTGTATGAGGTTTAGAAAGCCGTCTGAGATCGGGCTTTTCCGGGAGAAGGGATGGCATCAGACTTGCCAGATCCGTGACCGTAAACTTTAATCCTTAAACATTTAGTATAGGTAAAAGGGACCCCCCCCATCATCCTCTCATAATCCCTACCTGGACCCCCACAAGTATGTAAAATGACGGCCTTCATGGCTGTCATTTTGGACTTAGGGCTATGATTTTACATACTTTTGGGGTTTAGGTATAGACCCGAAGCCCGAACCCTAAACCCCTTAACCAGCAGCCCTTAAACCAGAAACCCTGAATGCTAGGGTACCCAATGAAGACGTCTGTGTCTTTGTGGCCCATAGGTGGTCCCCCACAAGCCAGTGATGACAAGGGACAACTGAAATTATCTGCGGCCCCTCGATATTCCGACCATATTACCATTTGAACCATTTGTATTGGGTACTGTCCCCACCCAGTAACAGTCTATATTAGGGGTCCTACTAAGGGCTATATATAACAATATTATAACTATTATCCAACTGTTACTGGGGGGGGGGCAGTACCCAACATTTGTAACTAGTAGACGAGGGCAGGTCACCTGACTAAAGTCAGTGCGAAACCATCAAGTCAACAGTCACCCCTAATATCATCAATCATGGAGCAGGACCCCTGTAGGCCCCGTATTGATCCGGATAAGGATCCGTATTTTAGAAAAAAGTCGTAGAACAGGTAGGAAGCCCGACTTTCCCGAACAACTTCTCCTATAGGCCAAAAATTAGGGGGTACCATTTTGGGATAAGGATGAGAAGATTCTGGGGTTTAGATTGGGGTTCCCCTATTTTGGGAAACTACCGTATACAGGTTGGGCCCAAATGGGTTCTAGTTGCATATGTCGGGGCCGAACTTGCTTTCTGTGACCCCCACAGCTAGATCAAAAAAACAGCTACAGCCTATACTCAAGGGCTCCAATGTAGTTCCTTTTTGGGGTTGTCATGTTTGGGGTAAGGGATTAACGAACTACATAGGAGGGTCTGGGTATAGTTATTCCACAGCAGGTCGAGACATGTCCAGACATAGGATGCGGTTGGTTTGCACAGCTAGACTCCAACAGCCTTTTGTGCGACACCCCCATATGGAAGCGGGGGCCAGGTTTTGGATGCGCCTTTGCAAGCCATCGCATCAAGATCCCGACATCCTCATGTGACAGCTTACGCCTACAGGGTTTAGGGTAGTTTAGGGTTTAGGGTCCTCATCTGACAGCTATCCCAAACACCTTCTGCACAAAGCCCTGCTGGCCCCGAACCAGAATCTGAATTTCCCAGATCCTATGCACATGCTCGGAAGTATGCCTGAGCCCCGTTTTGACATCTTCAAAACATTGTACAGCCTACCTCTCAACCCTGAGCCCTAAGCCTATTGCGCGCAGGCAAGCGTCTGGGTGGAATGGCTGTCCTGGATGGACGAAAAGCGATGGCTCCAGGAGCAGCTGGAGAACCCGGAGCAGGTGGAGACTTCATAGTATTAGGACTGATGGTGGTAATGTGAGAGTAGTAGCAGTAATCCGGATAGGAATAGTCATAGTCATAGTAATAGTACTAGTAATAGTCACAGCAATAGTAATAGAAATAGTACCAGTACTAGGAATAGTAACAGTACTAGTGACAGTAATAGTATTCTAAGGTTTGGGGTTTAGTGTCTGCCCCGCTCACATGGTGTTTAAATCGTCGGGTTACTCAGGAGCCAGACAATGCTTAGGGGTCTGCGCTTGCAGTTTTTGCCACTGAGGCAATTTGCTTAGAGCTCAAAGTAGACATCTCCAGCTTGAGTTGTTCTGAGAATTACAGGCCCCTGTTAGTTATGAATTATAGTCTGGCGCCTAATATTTAGAGGTACCCAAATGGGACCCCAACTGAAGAGCCTCCGGCTCAGCGCGCCGACCCTGAGGCGGAGAAGTCGCGAACGCAACGACGGCGTCAACCCTAAACCCCATAAACCCTAAATGCCTAGACCCTATACTTTGATGTTTTCAGCAGCTGGCACAAGACCAATGGGCGCGCAAATGAATTCAAGCTAGGCTGCCAGGACTCCGCAGCCTTGCTGTTTTCAGTGGCTGCGCGCGAAACCAACCGGCGCAACAAGCCAGGTTGCCGTTGAAAACGTGGCCAGGTCTTCATGAGAGCTGGAGGGAGCACCCTGATGAGCATATTCAGCTGACCTGGGCCGGGGCCTTCAGGGGTCTGGGGCCCGGGGTCTCAAGGGGGCCTTGTATCTACACAAAACGTCTTTTGAATAGGTGGAAGTCGGCTCCCCAGCGAAACACAACCGGGATACGCCCCCTACCCCCTTTTTTTTTGGCCTGTAAGGGACAGAAGAAGAGGTTTTCCTCCGGAAACCATCCAACACCAGAGGTCGGCGGATTTTGGGAACTACCCACATCATGCTTTCAATTCAGATGTTGAACGATTGTCCTTGCGATATGGGTAAGGTAGGGGTCCCATCCATGCTGCAGCGCTATACCAGGTTGCTGCATGTTCGCGCTCAGGCTTGACATGTCGTTTCGGATTGCTGGTTGCGCACTCATGCCCTCTTTGTCTCGTGAGTATGCTTCGTCAACACAAGAATGGCTTGAGGGCCTAAACGAGCGGCTACAGGAATATTGCCCCCTAGGTTCAAGAATCCACTCTTCTGCATCTACGGCTCCAAGAACCTTTTGCCCAGTCCATTGTCAGATATAGGGCATTTCATGCAAGTCATGGGGGGAGCCCAGCAGAGGGGCTTCAGGCTGACATGACTATTTTCAAGAGATCATAGGAGCATGTTGCAGCTGTTCTGTTCGTTAGTGGTAGGCTTTGCTATAAAGTCTTTTGATGTTCCATTTCGTTTTTTGGGGGGGATAATATATGTATATATATATATATATCGCCTATGCCTCCCTTATTTCTTCAAATCTCATGGTTTACTTTCCGTGAACACGAGAGGTTGTTCAGGACACCATGGACATGGGATCCAGGGCATCCGGCCGTGTGAACGCCTCGGCATCTTGGCTACCAAGGGAAGCTTCGTACAAGTCCTGAAGCAGTTTACGGCTAGGGTTGGATCCTATAAGAGTCATATTGATGGTTGTCAAAATTATGGTCCCGGTTTAGGTCCTTATTATAATACGTCACCAAATATTTAGGGTACGCACAAAGGGACCATAATTCTGACAACCACCCATATGAAACGCAGAGGGTTCTGATTTGGAGCATCGGCGCCCGTTTTGAGGGAAATGAATTTGCACATGCATATGGATGCATAGTGGTGGCCTTGTGGCATGCCCTTTCTGTCCAAAGACTCCGTGAGTGCCAAGCTGCTGTCAACGAAACAAGCCCTGTAGGGCTCCACATGACCAAATTTACATACATCCCTCCCCCCAACACCCACCTTACAACCAACCCTACAGAAAGCGTAAGAAATATCAGTTACCTTGTCCTTTGGGAAGACGGCAATGAACCATCAGTGGTGGAAGACGTTGATCCAAGTATCATGACCTCAGACAATCCCCGTAAATGCTGACTCCAATACGAAAGCATTGCAGAAAGCCCTAGTTCAGACCTAGCAATAACTAGATTAGCCAGAAGAAGCCTGACAAACGCAAGGGGTCCAGACGAGAAGATTCAGGGTTTTGAGTCCGTTTCGGGTCGAGTTCTTTGTAGGCGCTGTTAGGCGAACATGTAGGATATGTTCATTAGGATTTATGAGCTTGGGATTTGTAACCAAGCTTCATGTATGTTCTCTTGTAATTAACTTTGTTCCTGCGGTCCTTATAGGACATGAGCAATACCCCGACCCTTGACCCCATTCAAACCCAGCAAATTGGACAACCTAATCCTTATCACGCCTGACCTCCAGAGGATCAAGAATTCTGACCATCCTTAGCCCGTAGTATATTATTAGAGATTTCTCCGAATCTACAACTACTTATGTATATGTACATATCCATATACTGTTCATGCATTTGTTTGTGCGTATATTACATGTGTATATGTATAGTCCTCCTTGAGTAGATGGAATATGGCTTTGGGTATATTATAATAAGATCCCTATATATCCCATATTTTATCTACTCAAGGGGGACTGTAGACTCTAAAGTCTAAACTCCTAGTATCCCTCTTAATATCCCCTATGGTAATCCCCTATATAAGCCCCTATATAACCACCCTTTAAGGAGTTTAGACTATAGTACATATATATATATATGTATGTATGCAGTCTGTGGAGCGGTGTTCAATTTTCGGCAAAGGGTAGGGTACCGATAGCAGCTTGTCAGAGACCCAGGTCATGAAGGCAGTGCAAAAGCTCATCTGACCCTCCGGCTAACATAGAAGAGTGTGTCTGTGCGAGGGTTTAGCTTTTAGGATTTCGAGTTTGGGATTAAGGTTGGTTTACAGTAGGGTCTGGGAATTTAGGGATTTCATCTCAATTTAGCTAGGAGTTTATGTTAAACTTTAAACCGTAACGAAGGCAACTTTGCCAAGAAGTTCTCAGACGGCTTTGTCAAGAAAACTGGCGATTGGTTTCTGCAGCAGATCAGAAGGCTCTATGACGACCAGTGGGGTGTCGTGTGCCTTGGCAGAGTTTCCCCTAAGGGTTCAAGTACTCAATAATTCATAATTAGGCACTTGGGTATTGGGCAATAGTAATTACAGTACAGATTTTGGGTAAGTATATGATTATCCCGTACTCGGACCCTTAGGGTAAACTGCAACACCCTATAGTAGTCTCCAGCTTTCTTTTCCTTCCATAGGTCACTAAACCCCAAACCCTACACCTCTGGCAGCGCAGGGTGGAGCATGGCATCCGCGGCTTTTGCACCTTGTTCCGGTACAAGGACGTCCGAGCTGATTACTGGCTGCTTGTTGCTGGCCAAGATCCATGACGACCTCACCCGACCTCACCTTGAAAGGTTGCTTATATAGAAAATACTCGTAAAGAGGCATGGCCCGCCTTTACTAGGGAATGGAATATTGACTTGGAAACTAACATTGAAAATCATGGAGTTTGGAGGGTTTGTAGGGACATACCATGTAGGGTTTGATCTTAGGGTTAGCTTGCTGGATGAGGAATGGAAGAGAACACGGAGACTGTCATCTAGGATTTAGGGTCTAGAGAATCCGACAGGAAATACAGACTGTTCTGCTATTGAGTGCGGGTATATCATATAGGGACGATTGTAGGGATCCCCCTATTCCCTACTAACAACTTGTAAGATTTTGGAATGTGGCGCGGAGCTGGGTATATGGATGATCTAGGATGGCACAGGGGATGACATGCGGAAAGATATCAATTTCCGGGTTGTCGGGGTTCAACTAGTTGCACCCCTAAACCCTAAACCCTCAACCCTAAACCCGAAACCCTGAAACCTATACTCTAAACCCTACGCCCTAAACCCTAAACTAAATTCTAGAGTTCTGAGGCCTTCAGGCTTCAGCTTTCGTGTCAAGATTCTGGTTTGGAACTCTTGTAAACAAGTGCTTGGGGTTAGGGAGGGGGTAGGGTTTAGGGTTTAGGGCGTCACTTGGTACAGTCCATGGTCTTGTCTCCGCAAGGATGCTTTGCCCGAAGCAATGAGCTTTGAAGCAGGATTTGTGTGGAAAGGAATAGCTGTATCTTCTGCTATCCCAGGATCTGTTTGTCGTGTGTGTGTCGACCGGTATGCATGAAGAGTTGCCTGCCGGGTTTTGTATCACAGTACCGGGACAGAAATAGAAATCTGAAAGGGAAGCCGTAAACCTCGATTACAAGCGAGAATGTAGTGACAGACCCTGCTTGGGTCAGGGGGACTTCGTAAGTAGGTTAATAATCCCCACAACGCATATAGTAAGCCTAATTATCCTCATTTTTAACCTACTTACTAAGTCCCCATACCCTAAACCCTCAACTCTAATTAAAACCTAAACCCCCCCTAGACCCTCCAAGTAAGCCCCACAACTCTGACCTTAAACTTTAAGCTGCCTACCAGGAGCATCGTGAGATGTTCAGCGTCTCGCTGGTGGGCAACCGCAACAGCGTGGGCGAGTGCCTTGCAAATCAGTTCATAAAGATCTTTGACAGCATGCAAAGAGCACGGATTTTTTGGATGGCCTGAGTAGTAGTAGTTTCCACCTTTTGTGCAAGCGCTGGCGATCCCTGATTTTTGGGCTTATAGAGACTAGAAAGGGAACTTGATGCAGACTACCCAGGTGCTTCCGCGAGGATGTTGAGAAGCTGATCGAGGAGACCTGTTAGCACAGTTGGGGAGTCCTGATTTGGACGTTGGGCGTTACAGGTTTGGCTTTTAGAGCCTGCTGAGCACACCAATATGGGGATTTCCCAACAGTATGTGCTGGGGTCCCCATTATGAGGACTGTAGTGTGTTGGGTTTATGTTGATTGGGTCCCCCTATTTAGGGAAACCAAAGTATAAACATCAAAGAGCCACTGGGGTATAACGTAACGGCCAAGGTGATAGAAACTTGGTTCGGTAGCCTCATAGGCTTCGCGCGGCTGCAGCTAGGTAGGGCAAAACCCAAGTTATAGCTAGGTAATATCACCATCCACTAGAGTTAGTTACCCGCATAGGTAACACTTGTGTGGTGATATGCCTCCCTAGCGCAGGAGATGCAAGCGATGCAGATGGAGCAGGAGGATCGGTGCTTTGACAGCATCAACAGGCATCACGGGGAAAGGGTTTAGGGATTAGGGTTTAGGGATTAAGCTTTAGGGACTGACGAAGTTGCTGCACTTGATTTTTTGTTCGTGGGCGCAGGGAGATGTCGGAGTCGTGAAAGGGCTATGTTCAGATTGCAGGAGGCCAGTTACTTACCCTAAGGGTCCAAGGACCCAAATAATAGGGTTTTAGGGCCCAAATACCATTAATGTTATGTTCCACTGTCTGGCTCTGTCTGTGTCTAGTTGGCTTCAGCGTGGCCCTCGACATGTCCAGATGTCAAAATAGTCTCAAAATAGTCTACTGTGGAAGCCTGAATACTTACTGATATTCTCCCCACATACCCTTTATGTAGCTATAGGCTATAGTAAAATGTAGCGCATTTCCTGTGTCCAACTGCTTAGGCGCCCAAATTAAACATAGAGTGAAGCCCAGCCTCCTCCAACTTTCTCACAGCGCTAGGTTCCCTGTAAGATTAACAGGGCAAATTGCAACCACCCCAAACGGTGGCTTATATACAATACGGTCCCAAAAAGTCTGGAGACCGTGTTTTGTGGTGAGTACTTAGACACGGGGATTTCGCAGAATAGTCTCTACATGATACGTGAGGGGTGCCTCTATAGTCCCACAGCAGGACAAAGGTTTGTTCCACTGGAAGATCCTCTACAAGCACATCCAAAAACCCCTTCCCCCCCGCCTTCACCAGGACCTCCGTCTGGAACAATTCAAGCATTACAATTTTTATTCTAGTGTCACAGCTATACACTATAACGTACTCCGCGTGCTCGGCATCATGCACGCAGTCAAGCGCGACGAAACAATTCATTCCCTGTCACGTAATCTCATCAATCCTGATCCCTATAGAAACCCGTATAGCCAGACCCTCCTATGTAGTTCCTTTTTGGGTACTATACTATAATCCTTCACCCACACACCATAACAAACCCAAAAAGGAACTACATTGGAGCCCTTGGATAAGCCCCAGAGTCCCTAAGAGCTCCCCGTTTAAGAACCCTCGCAATCCTCATCCATGAGAAAGGTTCTTGCATGAACAAACTGCTTGGCGTTTATCAATTATGGGCTCTTTACCCACCTTCCATATATGTATCTACACATATATATATATAGATGTATATGTATGTATATAGATTACCGATACCAGCCCGTTGGGTTCCCCCTTGGAAGAGCCTATTCTTGGGTAAATCCTAAACCCTGAGGCTAATTAAGGGCAACCTTAAAGGGGGGACGGGGAGAGTATGACGGGGTGGTCAGGAGGACCAGTTTCGAAAAGGAGGGGATTGGCATCCCTTTAGTTTTCCTGGCACGATCTCCTATCATGGAAGATAAAAAAAGAGTTTGGGGTTTAGGGTTTAGGCTTTAGGGAACTGGAGGGAACTTGTAAAACGCTGTGCCAGAGGAAGTTGTATAGTTCTACAAGGAAGTTCATGCTTTACAAGGAACAATGTTGAGCCAAGCCGTCGCAACACAGATGTTAGTGTAGGGTGGTGGCCAGGTCCATGTTGCAACTGCTAGGGGAATTAGAATATTTCAGCAGTTGCTGACGGGTTCGTACATTCATTCCCTGGCAATCCCTATCTGTGTTTATAGTCATGGTGGGTGAAGGGTTGTGTAGGTAATTAGTGCCTCTCCTTTGGCACTCCGGGCTGCCGCAACCCACATAAGTATTTTCCCTGGTCCGAACAGCAGTGAGCGAACTTCCCTTAAGTCTTTCCCTGCATCCCACTGATGCCCACCTCAGTCCGCAGTGAGCAGTTATTCTTTGTTCTTACTCTCCAAGGCTTTTAGACAACCAATGCGAACCCTAAATCCTGACGCCCGTTTTCCTTGCTACTGAAGGTGTTATTGCCATTATATTAATTGTTGTTGTTACGTTGTCAAATTACCAGGTCGTCCGTTCGATTTTTATTAGCGTTGTATCCAAAACGTTTGCTTGCTGCTACGCAGGCTCCTCGTGTACACGCATCCCCTGATCGAGATTGCTGGTCGCATTGATGCATCTGCAGAGGGTGCCGCGCCGGAGTTGAAGGGGATTTTTGGCTTTGAGGGATCTACGGGGTAGAGGCTTTATAGGGCTTATGGGGATTCAGGGATTGAAGAGTTCGAGGGGTTCCGGATTTAGGGCTTCAGGGGTTTGGAGTTCAGCATAATTTGGGGGTCCAGAAGTTCAGGGAGGCGCAGCAGCGCTGGTTGTTCAGGTCGCAAATTCAGGGAGCCCAATAGCCCTGAATTGAGGAATATAGCTGAAATCATATTAGGGACCCTAGTACCATTTAGGGTATATTCCTTAATTCAGGGGTATTGGGCTCTCTGCAACACTATGATTGTCTATAGGAGAACAATTAGGCTTGCCAGCAGCAGTGCTGGAGTTCGAAGTGCATGGATTCCTTGTCAGCTTACTTGGTAAATACAAACCTGATTTTTTTCAGTATAGTCTCCCTTGAGTAGATAGCGTATTGGGATATGCAGGGAGGGATCTTACTATGGTGTTGGGGAATTCCATATTCTATCTACTTAGGGCTTCGGTGGGACTATGCCTGCTTGATGGCTGGCCCCGAAACCCTAAACCCTAAACCCTAGCCTTGCCACTAGACGGGTCACATAGCCGTGTCATTTTGCAAGAGCTGCGCAATTAGGATTAGGGTTTCGGGTTTAGGGTTGAGGGCTTTGGGTTGAGGGTTAAGGTTTTAGTCTTACTTGGCTCAACTACCCAAGGAATTTCTCATGTGGAAGCCCGAACCGAATTTCGGGCTGTCATGAACATGGTTTCTAATTTGGCCTAGTAAAAATCACCTGATAAGATCCTTTTTAGGAGGATTCCATGGCGGAGAGGCCGCATTTTATGTACCCTGCGGCTGGCATATCCTCATATGAGCTATAGTCTAAACTCCTTAAAGGGGATTATATGGGGGATGATATAGGGGACTACTATAAGGGGTTTTTCAGGGGAATACTAGGAGTTTAGNNGTTTAGACTACAGCTCATATGAGGCGACAGACTTGAACAGAAACCTTGGCAGTTCATGTCGCTCTCCTTTACTTGCACGCAGAACCCGTGCACCACAAAAGGGCTTTCGAGGATGTACGCTTGATGGCTGGCAGTGTTCAGTTTCGACTGCCACTCTCTTTTAGTCACAGTAGGCCTTTCAGGGAGGCTTAGGGTGCAGGGTACAGAAGTCCAGCTCTTAGCCTTCATTTATGAGGTCTAGGGGTTAGGGCCCTTCCATTCCCTGCAGTGCAACAGTAGACCCCTAAACCCTAAACCC